CCTGAGTGGTAGAGTATCTTGATTGTCCCTTTTGAGCTTTTCATTCATAATACTCAGAGTGTTTTTATACCAACAATATTTAATTGAAAATTACAATAATTTGATAGTTAACTATAAAGAAAAATTTTTATGGAATCATTTAACTATTGTTTCTGAAGATAAAGATAACTGAATTCACTTCTTAATGCCAATCATAAATTATAGCTATTTTAAGAAATTTTTATTTGAAGATATGGAATGGAATTTTGATCTATGAAAATAAGTGGAGGAAACAAGGAAGCCAGTAAGGGAGAATATCTTACTACTTTATTTTTATTTAATTAATTAATTAATTTAAATTTTTGTCAGTTGTAGACATTGAACTCTGGGCCTGGGTGCTACCCTCAGCTCTTTAGCTTAAGGATAGCGCTCTACCACTTGAGCCACAGCACCACTTCTGGTTTTCTGAGTGGTTTATTGGAGATAAGAGTCTCGGGACTTTCCTTCCTGGGCTGGCTTTGAACTACATCCTCAGATCTCAGCCTCCTGAGTAGCTAGGATTACAGGCATGAGCCACCAACCACCCGACCTTAGTACTTTATATTTTACTGAAATTAGAACACTGGCATTTTAGAAAAAGTTGATATAGTGTTAGAGCTAGTAATTACTGTTTGGAGGGGTTTTCTTTCTTCATCTTTTTCTTTTTAACTATATAATAGGGTCATCAGTGGGCCAATGTCATATAAATTTTTTTTTTATCAATTAGGGAACATGAAATCTAGATAACACTGATAGACACGTGTTTTTTAGGAAAAGACTTCATGAATTGGCTTTTGTTTACTTATCATCTTAGTGGTACTGGGGTTTGAATTCAGGTCTCATTCTTGCTAACCAGATGCGGTAACATTTAAGCCACTTTGCCTTTTGGGGGATGTTATTTTTGAAATCTGATCTCTTTCATTATGCTGGGTCCTGCTTGGACTAAAATCCTCCTATTTGTACTTCTGCACATCACTGGAATGACAGATATGTGCCATCTGGCCCAGCCATTGCTGGAGATGGAATCTCTTAAACTTTATTTTGCCTGAGTTAGTCTCAAATTACCATCCTCCAATCTTTATAACCCAGGTAGTTAAAGTGGCTCAAGCCATCTTTACCAGCATGAACCCACTTCTTATTACAACTTCGTAGTGAACTAAAATTATTTTTCCAGCTTGAACTTTCAGGTGCAAGGCTCCTTACGTACAGTCTACATTTTAAAATGTGTTGTGCTTAATTTTCTTAGTTTCTGATGAGAAAATAGAAGTCCTATTAGAAAATTGTTTCCCGTTTATGATGGCATTATTTTCTGTGGCTATATGCAAGTTGGTATTGTTAATTCACGTATCTTCCTGGCAATCAGAAGTTTTTCCATAGAAATTTAGAATTGTAAGTACAGAAAAAAGGAAATAGATACATTAAAAAAGCAATTTGAGAAGGGTCAGCTACTGCCATGCTGAAATTGCAGTTAACTTAGGATATCATTCTTTAAAGTATATTTCACTTTTGTCTACAATAAATTGAACCTTTAAAAAGTACTTAGGAAAAGATTGTCTTTGATTATTCTTTTGGAAGAGGATAGAAGGCTGAAAACAAATTATTCCTTCAATTACACTTTTATATAAAGTTATGAGTTTAAAATAGGATAGGCAAATTAATTGTAACTGAACAACTAGTATAAATTGCAGTTGGAAATATGGGGAGGAAGCTGGATATCATAACATATGCCATAACACATTCTAGATGGAGTAAATATGTTGATGTAAAATTAAACTGACTTCAGGCTCAAATTTGGGACAATACATATGTGTTATTAGGATAAGAAAAGTGTTCCTATGCCTAGCACCCAAGGCAAAAACTAAAAGGCTCTTGGTATATAAATAACTCTTAGAGGAGCTAGGTGTAGTGGTCCATATCTGTAATCTCAGCTACTAGGGCATCAGAGATTGGGATGATCATGGGCTGAGATCAGTCTGGCAAAAAGCAAGACTACCATCTCAAAAAACAATCTCAGAGTGGTAGTGCATATCTGTTGTCTCAGGTACTCCAAAGATGTAAGTAGGACCCCAGTACAGATCTGACCCAGATTAAAGAAAAGAAAGTACAACGCTGTTTCTAAAAATTAACCAAAGCCAAATGCACTCTGGGCATGTCTCAAATAGTAAGAGTGGGACCCTGAGTTCAAATCAAAATAAAGTCCATAAGAAAACAAAACTATAGTAGAAGAATCTGGGAAACGCCAGAGGAAGCAGATTTTAAAATAAGCCAAAAGCATAGAGAAAAAGTTTACTTTGTAGTCAAATAGTTAATTATATCAAAATATATTTAAAATACATGAATTAGTAAAACCTTTAAAACTAATTGGTCAAGATTCCAGGATGTGGTCTTTTCATATAATTGTTGATAGCCTTATGAATTCAATTTGATTGGACATGAACTTCTTAAAATTTAGTATATTCTATAGCTTAAGGAGTTGATTTGTTTGAATTTATGTCAAAGAAGTATCTAGATACTTGTGTAAAACTGTACATTTAGGGCCAGGCACAAGTGGCTCATGCCTGTAATTCTAGCTACTCAGGAGGCTGAGATCTAAGGATTGTGGTTCAAAGCCAGCCAGGGCAGGAAGGTCTGTGAGACTCCTTATCTCCAATAAACCACCAGAAAACTGGAAGTGGCGCTGTGGCTCAAGTAGTAGTAAAGTGCACTCACCTTGAGTTGAAGCATTCAGGGACAGCACTCAGGCCCAGAGTTCAAGCCCCACAACTGGAAAAAAAAAATGTACATTTAACAATTCTTTGCATCTGTGTATGTAGTACATGGAAAATTTGTAATGTATTGAGTGTGGTTGCTTTAAAATGATATTGCTCTTTCCTATAATAGAATATTATGTGTATAGTAAAAATGACAAAAAGGAATTTCTAAATATTTCATCAAATAAGTCAACATATTTGTTGAGCATCGTGTCTAAAACATTGCTGATATAAACCAAGTTTGTATCTTAATATTACATGGTGAAAATACATCATACGTAAGTGAAAGAATGATTACAAGTCTGTATGTATACACATACTTATATGTATAGGGAATTATAATAATTTATTTATTATTGTCCTGAGGCTTAAGCTCAAGGCCTATGTGCTTTCTTTTATGTTTTTTACTCAAGGCTAGCACTCGATCCCTTGAGCTACAGTCCTATGTCTGGCTTTTTGGTGGTTAATTAGATATATAAGTTTCACAGTTTCTTTTCTGGGACTGGCTTTCAACCTGGATCCTCAGATCTCAGCTTCCTCAGTAACTAGGATTATAGGAGTGAATCATTGACACACAGATTTAATATTTTAATGATGATTAAAATATTGATAGTCATTCTTCATGGGAGGATTTCATTATGGATTTATTCATCTGTCTCTGTGTTCAAAAATTTTTAATGAGAAAAATTATCAGTAAAGGTGAGATGCCTGAGTAGGAAAAAATGGTGAATAGCTGATTTTTTGAATGAAAATAGCTAACACTAGAAACAACTTTGTGCCAAGTCCATGTCCTCCTTTACTTCTTTTTAGAGTCCTTTTAGGTAGCACCATCATCCCTTGCATTCTGAGAAGACCACAGCTCTGAGTTTTTGTTTGTCCAAAGTCACACAAGTAATGATAGGAAATGTACTCATTACCTTGCTCATGTACCTGTAACCCCTCTGTACAGTATTTTTACAATAAAAATGTATATATATATATAAAAACAGGTCCCTGTCAGGTTTGTCTACTACCATGCCCCCATGCCCCATTTTTTTTTGCCATTGAGTACGTTTTGATCGAGTATATTTCTTGCTTTTTAAAAATGTGATTGATAGTCTATCACTGGTGGTTCATGCCTATAATCCTAGCTACTCAGGAGGCTGAGATCTGAGGAGACTCTTATCTCCAATTGACCACCAGAAAACTGGAAGTGGTGCTGTGGCTCAAAATAGTGGAGTATTAGCCTTGAGTAAAAGAGCTCAGGGACAGCACCCAGGCCCTGAGTTCAAGCCCCATGACCCACCAAAAAAGAAAAAAAAAGGTGATTGATATACATCTTAGTAATTCTGTATCCATTTATTTTGAAAATATTATGAGGAAAATATGTTTTGGTTAAACAGATTTTGAGTTTAAGATTTACCATTTTAAAAATTTAATAGAAAGTTAAAGTTGGTTAACTAGCAACTCTATATTGGGGTGTGTGTGTGTGTGTGTGTGTGTGTGTGTGTGTGTGTGTGTGTGTGTGTGTGTGTGTGTGTGTGTGTGTGTGTGTGTGTGTGTGTGTGTGTGTTGCAAGGGTGTGTGTGTGTGTGTGTGTGTGTGTGTGTGTGTGTGTTGCAAGGGGTCAAACCCAGCATTCTACCACTGAGCTACATCCTCAGCTCAGTATTCATATTTCATATGAATATACTTTATAACTAAAAACAATCCTACAGATTTTAAGTTTAAAATAATATTTACCACTTTAAAATTTCAATAGAAGGCTAAAGTTGGTTAACTAGCAACTCTGTATTGTGTGTGTGTGTGTGTGTGTGTGTGTGTTTGTGTGTTGCAAGGGGTCAAACCCAGAATTCTACCACTGAGCTACATCCCCAGCTCAGTATTCATATTTCATGTGAATATACTTTATACCTAAAAACAATCCTATCAGACTCTCTACCTTTAGTTAGGGAAAAAAATATTTTAAAAAAATGAATTTCTTTTCTTACTGCCTACAAGCCCTCTTTCCTAACAACAATAAAAAAGCATATGAATAAAGCCAAGATAGTAATAATAATTTTGAATGGACATAAGATGGTATCATTTTTCTTTTAAACTTTGACATTAAGAGTGTCACCCTGATTCTGACAAATTATTATTTTATTATATGCTTAATTTTATTCTTGATTTTATATTCTTAAGTGAGTCAGTTTATATATGGATGAAATAATCTAATTTTTAAAATTCTATTTTGGCACTTTGGATATTCAGCTCACTGTTAATGAAGCGGCTGCTCAACTCTGTGTGAAAGATAATGCCCTGTTGACAAGAAGAGATGAACTTTTTGCCCTGGCTAGGCAGATTTCTCGAGAAGTCACCTATAAATACACTTACAGAACCACCAAGTAAGTTATTGACAATTTTCTCTTCCTTGTACTGATGATTCAAACCAGGGCCTCACACTTACTAAGCAAGACCACTACTACTTAAGTCACATCTCCGGTCCTTTCCTTTGTATTTTCTTTGTAAGTTAAGGTTGATTTAACTTTACTTGTGCTGTCTCTGTCTACTAAGTAGATGGGATTACAGGTATATACCACCGCCTGTGGTTCTAATTGGTGATATCTTTGCATTGTTTAGTTTAAGTACAGCTTGAAAAACTATCCATTGATATATCATTTTTTAAAGGCAGAAGTATGATTATAGTTCTATAAAAATCAATGTAGTGACCTTTCAGAACATTGATAAAAATAATTTTTAATAAATTAATTTTTAACTGACATATAACAAAAATTATAACTTTTAACAAGGTACCAAGTAATCATTTCAGTACATACACATTCTGTAATTTTAAATCAAGTAAAACATATCTCTAAACATTTTATCATTTCTTTATGGTAAAAATCTTCAGAATATCTAGGTTTTTACAAGATACAGAATACAATTATTATCCCAAGTTACCCTACTGTATAATGTTTCACACCAGAACTTATTCCTAGCCAACAAAGTGATGCTTATTTATTGTTCAGTTCTCTGTCTGAAAGGCATAGTTTCTTAGTATTAATGTGTTTTATTTGTAATGGTTTAGACATTTTTTTCCTTACACTTCGGTGTTGAGTATGATGATGAGATTTAGATAGCCATTATGGACATATCTGTGCACTCACCACATGAACATGCTGATCTCTGAGGAAAAAAAATGGTTCCTTTTACAAGTGCTTACAATCAATATTAGGTAAATTCATAAAAGAACTATAAATCAGTTGGTTCAGTCCTGCATTGATAAATACTTGTTTATAATTTGTCATTATTGGAAACAATACCACAATAGATAACATCATATACATGTTTTGCTAATTTCATGAGGCACTACTCTTATATGCATAATGTAGCTGGCCACCAGGTGGCTCAGGCCTGTAATCCAAGCTACTCAAGAGGCTGAAATCTGAGAATCGTGGTTTGAAGCCAGCCCAGGAAGGAAAGCTTGTGAGACACTCTTTCTCTAACCACCAAAAAATCTGGAAGTAGTGCTATGGCTCAAAGTGGTAGAGTGCTAGCCTTAAGCATAAAAGCTTTGGTACAGCACCCAGGCACTGAGTTCAAGCTCAAAAAGTTATAATTCCACAAGTCAGAATATAAGTAAAATGCATTTTATGTCTTATGACTGATCAGGTAGTATTTCACAGGTATACTGGTACATCTGGGATAGGTTCCCAGTAGAAAGACTTCTAATCTAGGGTAACTACATCTATAGTGAGTGGTTGAAAGACAAAATGTATTTTAATCTCATGTTATTAAGCATATATTCTAAGTGGAGTTTTTTTTGTCCTTTTATCTTAAATTGCTCCTGCTGAACCATAAAGGGATATTGACCTTGGTATTTCTTTTTTTCTGTTGAATAATAATCATGTAATATTTATTGGGTGTTTTCTCTGAGGAGAGTCCTTACATTGGTGTTCTTTTAAAATGTGTCTGTATGTTCCTAAATGTTCATTTGAAAATAATGAAAAGTCTTTTATTGTATACGTTCTTCATATTGAGGTTTCAGGGTGACATATTTTGGGGGAAGGTTATAGACAAGATGAATTATGAATGAAATTTTTACCTTTTCAAATTTTTCTTTATTACTTTTCCCTAGATCAAAATGTGGCGAGAGAGATGAATTATCCCCAAAGAGAATTAAAGTGGAGGTATGATTATATATATTATTTCAATAATGTTTGTTTAAAAATCTTTATTTAGAGAAATGAAATTCAGGCAAAAAAGAATGCTCCCTTAAACTAGTGCAAAAGGAATTGTAGAATCTTACTGTAGAATTTTGTTACTCTGAAATATATATAGTAATTTGAATTAGTAACCAAGAAAATTCTTTAAAAAGAAGTATATTGATATCCAGTTACCAAATATTAGCTTGCAAATTAGTGTTCTTACCATCTAAAACTTTACTGGTTAAGCAGTCCCTCTTATAATTTTGTGTCATTAGTCATCATACATTTCAGAAAAATGAACTTTTAATTTCTTTGTATTATCTGATGGATGTGACAGTTTGGGTAGCTTTATTTTATTTTTTGGCAGTGCTGGGGTTTGAACCCAGGGTCTTGTGATGGCTAAGCAGACGCTCTACCACTGTTAGGCCTCCAGGAAATGATGATCTAGTAGCTACAAATTTTGGAAACTTTCCCATAATAAAACTTGTTTTAGGCTTGATTTTAGACTTGAAAGTAATAAGGTGACAGTTGAGTAAGAAAAATGTGCTCTTAGGATTATAAAGTGGTTTCAGAACTACTGTTCCTTAGTGGGTTGAATATTTATTTGAAAGATCTAGTCTACAGTAGAGTGGAATTGAAATTAGATTCTCCTTCTTTTTTCCTGTTTCTCTTGGGTTGAGGAGGAGTATTGGTACTCTTTTAGACATGCTATTATTTAATTTCAAATTATAGCAAGGAATTCTTGACTACCCTAAATTTCTAAAAATAGATTATATTTACTAAGTATCTATTTATACACAATAATCTTGTAAGAATATTAACCACTTCTAAAGACCCTATATGATCTGATTCCAGCTAGCTTCTCTTGTTTGTTCCTACATGTCCTCATGTGTTGTAGCAACCCTGAGCAGCATTCTATTCTAGAACCTGCCAAACTCATTTGTACCTCAGTATTTACCACTTGTTTTATTTGTTCCCTTACCTAGAGCTGTTTTCTTTTTCTTTTTGAAAAACATTACATTTTTAATTCCCCAAGAGTAAACTGGTAAATAACTGTCAAACCATCACTGGAAGAATGTGGAAAATAATCAAGCAGAGTAAACCCACTGAAAAAGAGTTGTTTTCTTTAGGTGGCTATAGGTCACCGTTCCTTGGCCTTCCTTTCTGAAGGGGCTTTCTGTAAAACCAGTTAGGATGGTTTTTCTGGTGGTTTTGTTTGTTTTCATATTGCTTAGCTCTGGAACCGGTATATGTTTGGGTTTAACTTAATATAAATTTGCACGTGAAGGAGAACAGAATCTTTATATACTGAGTTTATAACACTGTCTTTCATTTAATAAAATCTGTTGGAAAAAATAACGAATGGCTGTGAGTAAGCTGCTTTGACTAATAAAGATTTTATCCTAATGTAATAGTTTTCAAAGAAGAAAAGTATTTTGTTTCCAAATGGACACATTTTTAAGAAATCGTAGGTTGGAGGCAGGTACCAGTGGCTCACGCCTGTATCCTAGCTACTCAGGAGGCTGAGATCTGAGGATCATGGTTCAAAGCCAGCGGGGGGCACAAAAGTCTTATCTCCAATAAACCACCAGAAAACCAGATGTGGCACTGTGGCTCAAAAGGTAGAGCACTAGCCTTGAGCTGAAGAGCTGAGGGACAACGCTCAGGCCCAGAGTTCAAGCCCCCTGACAAAAAAAAAAAAAGTGTAGGTTGGGTGTGGTGACAAAAGCCTGTAATTCTAACTACCCAAAAGGTAGAGAATGGGAAAATCATAGTTTGAGACTAGTCTGGGCAAAAAGTTACTGAGATCCTCATGTCAACCAGCAAATTGGGCTAGGTGGTATGCACATGATCCCAGTTATGTGAGAGGCCCTAGGTAGAAGGATTGTGGTCTCAGACTAGCCTCAAGAACAAAAATTGAGATCCTACTTGAAAAATAACTCAAACATTAAAAAAAACTAGGAGCCAGGCGCCAGTGGCTCATGCCTGTAATCCTAGCTACTCAGGAGACTGAGATCTGAGGATCGTTGTTCAAAGCCAGCCCGGGTAGGAAAGTCCGTGAAACTCTTTTTATTTATTTATTTATTTTTGTTTTTGTTTTTTTTTTGTCAGTCGTGGGGCCTGAACTCTTGGCCTGGGTGCTGTCCCTCAGCTCTTCAGCTCAAGTCGAGCATTCTACCACTTGAGCCACAGCGCCACTTCTGGCTTTTTTCTGCTTATGTGGTGCTAAGGAATTGAATCCAGGGCCTCATGCATGCAAGGCAAGCACTCTACCACTGAGCCACCTTCCCAGCCCCGTCCATGAAACCCCAGTGAACCACCAGAAAACCAGAAGTGGCGCTGTAACTCAAGTGGTAGTGTTAGCCTTGAGCTGAAGAGCTGAGGGACAGTGCCCAGGCCCAGAGTTCAAGCCCCCCCCCACCCCCCCGCTCCAACCCCCCCCCCTGCAAAAAAAAAAAGAACTAGGAGCATGGCTAAAGTGATAGAGCGCTGACGGGAAAGTAAGATCCCGAGTTCAAACCCCTGTATAAGCAAAAAAATAAAAATAAAAATTAGTTGATCATTCCTAATCTAGATCTGTTATGGTAAATTTTAATTCAGACTTCAGATACCAGAGATGTTAATTTGGTTTTGAAAGCTGATTCCAAGTAGAGTGGATTAAAACTGGCTACAAAGGAGTTTTACTCCCTTAAGACTTATCACCTAATGTATTAGTGCCTTATTTATGTCTATCTTCTATGTGCCTGCTGGTGAGAGAGGAAGACCATCTGACATGAGAAAAGATTTGGGTAGGGAATTATACTGGAGATAAATCATTTGAGTTGGGTTTTAAAAGAATGGTAGGATTTCAGAAGATAGGAATACTGAATAGTGGGTAGGTGGCATTGTAAAGGTAGACTACTGTAAGCAAAGATACAGAGGTAACCAAAACATTACATATGATCTGATAACAGCAGAACAGTTTCTTTAGAGCTGTGATTGACACAAAGGACCTCTTAAATACAACAATTTAGAGCTCTATGAATATTTTTTTTACTCTTGCTTTTAATATTTCTCTTGTAGTCTGTAGCTTCTTAAAGACAATAACATAAACAGATTCATTATTTAGACCCAAATTCATGAGACTACCATTTGTCTTCACTTTCATCTTTTGTATATTTTAAATCTGCTGCATCAACTTGTAAAGCACACATGTCAAATTGGTCACATTTTTCCATCTTAAAAAGACAATTTTTACAATGAATAAAAAGAAATAAGATGCCCAGTAGATAAGGTAGAAGTGACAGCAAAATAATTTGACATGTAAAAGAGAGAAATGTTTTCTTGCCTGCATTAGGTATCTTAGTAGAAGAAGTACATTGTTCAAGTTCATAGGATCTTGTTGTTAAATGTAATATTGTCCTGTATTTTTGAATATGAAGAGTTAGGGGGAGTGGAATTTTAATATTTTTCTAATTCCTCTGGAAAACACTTATTAAATAGTTGGGTTCTTTCAGATAGATAGTTACTGTATGAGTTCTTTAATGTCAGTATACACATTGGAAACATAATGTGTTGGCCTTAAATACAACTCCTCCTTATAGGATATGTTAAACATTAAAATATAGGGACTTTGAGCCACAGAGAAAAAGATCTGGGCTTTAGGAAAAGTACCTCTTGAATCCTGTGTGTTAGTAAGGCAAACTTGGAAAACATCTGCCAGGACAGAATGAGCAGCTGATATGAGTCCACTTTTAGCTAAATTGAAATGTGTTCTTTTTCTTTTTCATCAACATTATAAATCTAGCTGTGAGGAAAACATAAAAATGATAGTTTTTTATTATTGCTATTATGTATGAGTTCCTGCTATAGGCATTTAGAATTCTTTGTCACAAACCTTGTCTACACTATATAAGCTTAATGATGTTCATTTTATGGCTGCAGGCCCAAAAAGGCTCAGTGACTTGACCAAGTTGCCACATTGCTGTCCAGTGGCAGAGCAGGGCTTTACTGTATGTCTCACTTCCAAACTTCAATGTAGTGTTCCTCTGGGTACCAATGTGTGAAAAGCACTATTTCCTCCTATTCACATGATAAAAAGGGCAAAATGTATATAGAATTGATGGTATTTGAAGGAGAGAATATATATATATATGTGTATATATATATATATATATGTATATATATATATATAGTTACTATTTTCTAATCCAGACAAGCTTGTCTAGTAAACAATTGAAATGGCAACTATAAAGTATATTTATATGTAAAACAGTGCCACGTGCTATGCCGCTTGTTTGTAATGACTAAAAATGTTAACATTTGTCAGACAGAATAAACAGAGAAAAACTAGTCTGAAGTATTTATACACTACCTATGACAGCATGAACTTTTAGGTTAGTTTGACAACTAGTTGAAGGACATGAAGGATCAAGAGCCAAAGTGATGGGTTTTTTTTTTTCTTAAGATTAAAAAAATATCTAAAAGTAGACTCAGTGACTTTGAATTTTCAGTAAGTTCATCAAGTTCCCTGAACTTTATTGTTATAAGGAGCATCTTAGAAGGGAGGAAGGACATAGAAGCTACCAGTCCCAGGACTGTTGATGTTGATGGCAGCTGACTAAATTAGGTGGACTGTTACTGTGTGTATGGCATCTGTAAGTTTTCTTCACAGAATTGCTGTGACAAAGATGGGAGGTGATACTTTTAGTCACCCTGTGGGATTGAGGGTACAGATCAGTTAAAAGTGACTGAAAGAAATGAAACTTATTTATAGCCCAGAAAGCTTGAGTTTGAAGAAGAAAGACTCAGAAGAAACATCTGCTAGCAGTTTCAGCAGGGTGGGGGGGAAGGTCATGAAGAAAGGGAGGGAAGAGGGTCAGAATATCCACCTACGCTGTACTAAGTTCGTTGAAAAGAATGCTGATCTGATTTGATATAGATTCTTTCCACCATGTGCATCAGAAAAACAGAAACATTACAATCTGCTATTCATACAGAAA